TGGCTGTTCCTGTGTCAGGTTCAGGAATTGATTGGAACTCTCCCTCCAGGTGGGCACAGAAACAGGATGTCTCCCTCCAGTGGTTTCAAAAAGACAGGATGTCTCCCTCCAGTGCTGTCAAAGAGACAGGATGTCTCCCTCCAGTGGGTTCACAGAAACAGGAAGTCTCCCTCCAGCGGGGGTACAGAAACAGGAAGTCTCCCTCCAGTGGAGGCACAGGGATAGAAAGTGAGGGGAAGTATCCCTCTAGTGTTCATCTCTGAATGAACACAATGAGTGATTGGTACAGATCACTCACTGTGTTCATTTGTAACTAAACCGTAGTAAACTGTGTTTTTTGGGGGGGGGGGGGCGGCGACACTGTCAGGTTAGTGGTATGGGGGCCCGTGGTTTCTAACAGCAGCCCTGCTGGCAACACTCTAGAGACACTGCATGCTGAAACCTTTACACCTTAGTACCATGAGATCTTTGCTTTGCGCATTTACCGCAGCCTATCAGTTATCGTCATTGAATTACCATTAATCACTACTGTATATGGGCCCCACCATTGCTAGCAGAAGACAATGAATACTATCATATCAGGAACTTTAAGCATCTCAGGACTCAAGTTGATATTTCTAGTTAAAGGGACCTCTTTGCATCTAATATATTTATAACTACCACTTCCTCAAATATAATAAGTGACAAATTAGAAAAACCAATATGCAACCAATATGCAACATAACTTAATTCCCCATAGCACAAATGAACCTTCACCCTTGAAGATATGAAATAACAATATAAAAAAGGGCCAAAATTATATAAACAAATACTTATATAATCCACCCCATAAAATAACTCTATATCAATATTCCAAAAAATTTTCAAAAAAAGTCCAAGCAAATTAATATAAGTCCAAAAAATTCCAAAAATATTATAAAACTGAGATATCCTTCCAATCCTTCCTTTCTCACGACAAACCTCAAACAAAAAGAAAAATATCACATAGTGTATTATCCTTATAATGTAATGAAATATCCGTGACAACACTCTAGTGATTATCCAAAAAATTTAATTTATTTTTTAGATAATTAGTGTAAAAAGTGCACCAAGTGAAACAAACATAATTAAAGAAAATTTGTTAGTGCAAAACACTGTGTACTGTGAATCACTCTTCCAGTGCTCCAAAAACAAATCCACACTGTGCCACTTCTATTATAGTAAGGAATATATACCCTTACCAACACTCCTCAATAAACCTGCTTTCAATATTTATCCTATGGATGGGATCCTCCTAAAGTGCTCCCCTAGATTCCACTGTATTCAGGGCACTATTCCAGCAGGATTTTCCATATCTCCATATCATTGGCACCATATAGACAGAAAGCATATGAGGGACAAAATAGTGTGATACCGCCAAAGTAATGTACAGAAAAACTTTATTCAAACTGCTCACATTTAAAATGATTCAAAACCGCTTTTAAATACCGTGAAAACCTCCAAGCTACCATCCAGGGAACATCCAGGGACCAACACACAGTCTTTATCCTCTTTTTCCCTTTAGCAAAATGGCCGCCGGTCGACTTCCGGTTCCTGTATGCGTCTTGACGTCACAGCCCTTGACGCGTTTCGTCATCGACTTAATCATAAGGGATCCCTTATGATTAAGTCGATGATGAAACGCGTCAAGGGCTGTGACGTCAAGACGCATACAGGAACCGGAAGTCGACCGGCGGCCATTTTGCTAAAGGGAAAAAGAGGATAAAGACTGTGTGTTGGTCCCTGGATGTTCCCTGGATGGTAGCTTGGCGGTTTTCACGGTATTTAAAAGCGGTTTTGAATCATTTTAAATGTGAGCAGTTTGAATAAAGTTTTTCTGTACATTACTTTGGCGGTATCACACTATTTTGTCCCTCATATGCTTTCTATCTATATGGTGCCAATGATATGGAGATATGGAAAATCCTGCTGGAATAGTGCCCTGAATACAGTGGAATCTAGGTGAGCACTTTAGGAGGATCCCATCCATAGGATAAATATTGAAAGCAGGTTTATTGAGGAGTGTTGGTAAGTGTATATATTATTCCTTACTATAATAGAAGTGGCACAGTGTGGATTTGTTTTTGGAGCACTGGAAGAGTGATTCACAGTACACAGTGTTTTGCACTAACAAATTTTCTTTAATTATGTTTGTTTCACTTGGTGCACTATTTACACTAATTATCTAAAAAATAAATTACATTTTTTGGATAATCACTAGAGTGTTGTCACGGATATTTCATTACATTATAAGGATAATACACTATGTGATATTTTTCTTTTTGTTTGAGGTTTGTCGTGAGAAAGGAAGGATTGGAAGGATATCTCAGTTTTATAATATTTTTGGAATTTTTTGGACTTATATTAATTTGCTTGGACTTTTTTGAAAATTTTTTGGAATATTGATATAGAGTTATTTTATGGGGTGGACTATATATGTATTTGTTTATATAATTTTGGCTCTTTGCATCTAAGCCATTGTCAAATTAGGGTGTCTATACCCATTTATATCAGTATATATATATATATATATATATATATATATATATATATATACATACATACAGTCATGGCCGAAATTGTTGGCACCCTTGATATTTCTCCAGGAAATCATGTATTTCTCACGAAACGTATTGCATTAACACATGTTTTGCTATACACATGTTTATTCCCTTTGTGTGTATTGGGACAAAACAAAAAAAGGGAGGAAAGAAAGCAAATTCGACATAATGTCACACAAACCTCCAAAAATGGGCTGGACAAAAGTATTGGCACCCTTTCACAACTGCGGATAAATAAGAATGTTACAAGCATGTGATGCTCCTGTAAACTCACCTGGGGCAAGTAACAGGTGTGGGCAATATAGAAATCACACCTGAAAGCAGATAAAAAGGGAGAGACGTTCACTTAACCTTTGCATTGTGTGTCTGTCTGTGCCACACTAAGCATGGACAACAGAAAGAGGAGACGAGAACTGTCTGAGGACCTGAGAACCAAAATTGTGGCAAAATATCAACAATCTCAAGGTTACAAGTCCATCTCCAGAGAACTAGATTTGCCTTTGTCCACAGTGCGCAACATTATCAAGAAGTTTGCAACCCATGGCACTGTAGCTAATCTCCCTGGTCGTGGACGGATGAGGAAAATTGATGAAAGATTGCAACGCAGAATAGTCCGGATGGTGGATAAGCAGCCCCAAACATGTTCCAAAGACATTCAAGCTGTCCTGCAGGCTCAGGGAGCATCAGTGTCAGCGCGAACTATCCGTCGACATTTAAATGAAATGAAACGCTATGGCAGGAGACCCAGGAGGACCCCACTGCTGACACAGAGACATAAAAAAGCAAGACTACAGTTTGCCAAAATGTACTTGAGTAAGCCCAAAGCCTTCTGGGAAAACGTCTTGTGGACAGATGAGACCAAGATAGAGCTTTCGGTAAAGCACATCATTCTACTGTTTACCGAAAACGGAATGAGGCCTACAAAGAACAAAACACAGTACCTACGGTAAAATATGGTGGAGGTTCAATGATGTTTTGGGGTTGTTTTGCTGCCTCTGGCACTGGGTGCCTTGACTGTGTGCAAGGCATCATGAAATCTGAGGATTACCAAAGGATTTTGGGTCGCACTGTAGGGCCCAGTGTCAGAAAGCTGGGTTTGCGTCCAAGATCCTGGGTCTTCCAGCAGGACAATGACCCCAAACATACGTCAAAAAGCACTCAGAAATGGATGGCAAAGAAGCGCTGGAGAGTTCTGAAGTGGCCAGCAATGAGCCCAGATCTAAATCCCATTGAACACCTGTGGAGAGATCTTAAAATTGCTGTTGGGAAAAGGTGTCCTTCCAATAAGAGAGACCTGGAGCTGTTTGCAAAGGAAGAGTGGTCCAAAATTCCGGGTGAGAGGTGTCAGAAGCTTATTGATGGTTATAGGAAGCGACTGATTTCAGTTATGTTTTCCAAAGGGTGTGCAACCAAATATTAAGTTAAGGGTGCCAATACTTTTGTCCAGCCCATTTTTGGGGTTTTGTGTGACATTATGTCATATTTGCTTTTCTGCCTCTGTTTTATATTTTGTTCCAATACATACAAAGGGAATAAACATGTGTATAGCAAAACATGTGTTAATGCAATACCTTTTTTGTGTGAAATACTTGATTTTCAGGAAAAATATCAAGGGTGCCAACAATTTCGGCCATGACTGTACATACACACACACAAACACACACTATATTGCCAAAAGTATTGGGATGCCTGTCTTTACACACACATGAACTTTAATGGCATTCCAGTCTTAGTCTGTAGGGTTCAATATTGAGTTGGCCCACCGTTTGCAGCTAAAACAGCTTCAACTCTTCTGGGAAGACTGTCCACAAGGTTTAGGAGTGTGTCTATGGGAATGTTTGACCATTCTTCCAGAAGTGCATTTGTGAGGTAAGGCACTGATGTCGGACGAGAAGGCCTGGCTCACAGTCTCCACTCTACTTCATCCTAAAGATGTTCTGTTGGGTTGAGGTCAGGACTCTGTACCAGCCAGTCAAGTTCCTCCACCCCAAGCTCGCTCATCCATGTGTTTATGCATCTTTCTTTGTGCACTGGTGCGCAGTCATGTTGGAACAGGAAGGGGCCATCCCCAAACTGTTCCCACATAGTTGGGAGCATAAAATTGTCCAAAATGTCTTGGTATGCTGATGCCTTAAAAGTTCCCTTCACTGGAACTAGGGGCCAAGCCCAACACCTGAAAGACAACCCCACATCCTAATCCCCCTCCACCAAACTTTACACTTGGCACAATGCAGTCAGGCAAGTACCATTCTCCTGGCAGCTGCCAAACTCAGACACTTCCATTGGATTGCCAGAGAAGTGTGATTTGTCACTCCAAAGAACACATCTCCACTGCTCTAGAGTCCAGTGGTGGTGTGCTTTACACCATTGCATCTGGTGCTTTGCATTGCACTTGGTGATGTAAGGCTTGGATGCAGCTGCTTGGCCATGGACACCCATTCCTTGAAGCTCTCTACGCACTGTTGCTATGCTAATCTGAAGGCCACATAAAGTTTGGGGGTCTTTAGCTATTGACTCTGTAGACAGTTGTCTACGCACTGTGCACTTCAGCATGCGCTGATCCCGCTCTGTCATTTTATGTGGCCTACCACTTCGCGGCTGAGATACTGTTGTTCCCAGTTGCTTCCACTTTGTTATAATACCACTAACAGTTGACTTGAATATTTAGTAGCAAAGAAATTTCACAGATGAACTTATTGCACAGGTGGCAACCTATCACGGTATCACGCTTGAATTCACTGAGCTCCTGAGAGCGACCCATTGTTTCACCAATGTTTGCAGAAGCAGTCTGCATGCCTAGGTGCTTGATTTTATATTCCTGTGGCCATGGAAGTGATTGGAACACCTGAATCCAATGATTTGGAGGGGTGTCCCAATACTATTGGCAATATAGTGTGTGTGTGTATATATATATATATATATACTGTGTATATATATATATATATATATATATATATATATATATATATACACACACACATCACCTTGCAGAGCTGACAAATAAACTTTTATATATATATATTATTATTATTATTTACATAACTCTCTGGTCTACTCTTTCGAACAAGCCTAATTTATGGGTGTTACTAAAGAATCGTGTCTCTTGCATTATTATTTCATACTGTTGAAATACTATACACTATAATGCCAAAAGTATTGGGACACCCCTCCAAATCATTGGATTCAGGTGTTCCAATCACCTCCATGGCCACAGGTGTATGAAATCAAGCACCTAGGCATGCAGACTGCTTCTACAAACATTTGTGAAAGAATAGGTCGCTCTCAGGAGCTCCGTGAATTCAAGCCGTGATAGGTTGCCACCTGTGCAATAAGTCCATATGTCTGTGAAATTTCCTTCCTAGTAACTATTCCATGGGCAACTGTTAGTGGTATTATAACAAAGTCAAGGCAACTGGGAACAACAGCAACTCAGCCACGAAGTGGTAGGCCACGTAAAATGACAGAGTGGGGTCAGCGCATGCTGAAGCGCACACTGTGTCGAAGTCGCCAACTGTTTGCAAAGTCAATAGCTAAAGACCTCCAAACTTCATGTGACCTTCAGATTAGCACAACAACAGTGCGTACAGACCTTCATGGAATGGGTTTCCATGGTTGTGCAGCTGCATCCAAGCCTTACATCACCAAGTGCAATGCAAAGATCGGATGCAGTGGTGCAAAGCATACCACCACTGGACTCTAGAGCAGTGGAGATGTGTTCTCTGGAGTGACGAATCATGCTTCTCTGTCTGGATTTTGTGATTGCCAGGAGAACTGTACTTGCCTGGCTGCATTGTGCCAAGTGTAAAGTTTGGTGGAGGGGGGACTATGGTGTGGGTTTGTTTTTCAGGGGTTTGGCTTGGCCTCTTAGTTCCATTGAAGGGAACTCCTAAGGTGTCAGCATACCAAGATATTTTGGACAATTTCATGCTCCCAACTTTGTGGGAACAGTTTAGGGATAGCCCCTTCCTGTTCCAACATGATTGCACACCAGTGCTCAAAGCAAGATCCATAAAGACATGGATGAGAAACTTTGGGGTAGATGAAATTGACTGGCCTGCACTTCAACCTGATAGAACACCTATCCGTCATCAGTGCCTGACCTCACAAATGCGCTTCTGGAAGAATGGTCAAACATTCCCATAGACACACTCCTAAACCTTGTGGACAGCCTTCCCAGAAGAGGTGAAGCTGTTATAGCTGCAAAGGGGTGGGACCAACTCAATATTGAACCCTGCAAAATAAGACTGGGAAGCCATTAAAGTTCATGTGTGTATAGGCACTAATACTTTTAGCAATATAGTGTATGTTCATATTATTTGCTGTCTGTAGCTGTACCAAGGCCCAGAAACAATGGTGCGCATCTAAAACACACTGACACTGATACTAATTTAAAGCATGCTTTGTTCTTAATCTTACCTATAATACTGTGACCTTTGATCCTGACCTTGCCGCTTACCCTAATCCTGATACTGACCTTGCTCAAACTTTTTTTTTTCTTTACTTTTTTTACTAACAGACATTTGTTTTATTTACATTTTTCTCCTCTAGCAGTAGAAAAAGATACCAAGTGTCTATCTCTTTGCATAGGGGCAATCTGTAAAGTTACTGATTTTGGGGAGCACAGTGGTTAAATAGTTAGCACTTCCACCTGGCAGGACTAGGGGCATTGGTTCAAATCCCAACCATGGCACCACCTGCCTGGAGTTCTCCCTGTGACTGCAAGGGTTTCCTCCTACACACCAAAGACATGCTGGTAGGTTAACTGGCTCCTGTCTATATTGGCCCCTATTATGTGTATGTATGAATGTGAGCTAGGGACCTTAGATTGTACACCCCTTGAGGGTTAGGGACTGATGTGAATGTGCAATATATATACACAGTTAAGTCCATATATATATTTGGACACAGGCACAATTTTAGTTTTTTTCAGGCATTTACCAAAGTATATTCAAGCTAAAGTTATGTAATGGATATGGGCTGCAAGTGCACACTCTCAGGTTTAATTTGAGGGTATGTACATCCAAATTGGAGGAAGGGTTTAGGAATTCCAGCTCTTAAGAGTTATCATAACCCCTTTTTCAAGGGACCAAAAGTAATTAATTGGACAAATTAATAAAACCATAAATAAAATGTTAATTTTTAATATTTTATTGATAATCCTTTACTGGCAATGACTGCTTGAAGTCTGGAATCCATGGACATTACCAAAGACTATAGCTTGAATATGTTTTGGTAAATACTTGAAAAAAACTAAAATTGTGCCTGTGTCCAAATACTGTATATATAGACTTAACTGTGTATATATATTGTACATTCACATCACCCTCAAGGGGTGTACAATCTAAGGTCCCTAGCTCACATATATATATATGGACCTAACTATATATATATATATATATATATATATATATATATATGCTGCATAAATATATAAGTACCTGTAATAAATAATCACTGTACTAGCCAGTCAGAGCTATCAGGTGATTGGGAACTGGTCTTCTGATTATCAGTAGGGACTTACAATGCCTGTATTCATAGGGCACCATTATTTTTTGTCTGCCATGCATTTGGAATGTGCTCAAAAACGCACCCCAAAGCATCAGTTGTGAATGAACCCTTCCCTATTTAAACGCAAGCATTTTATTATTCACTTCCAAACACGGAAAGGTTTCTTCACAGTGAGAGCTTTGAAAATGTGGAATGAACTCCCTCAAGAGTTGGTTCTGGCCAGCTCAGTTGATTGCTTTAGAAAAGGCCTGGATTCTTTCTTAGATACACAGAATATAACTGGATACTAACATTTATAGGTAAAGTTGATCCAGGGAATATCCGATTGCCTCTCGGGGGATCAGGAAGGAATTTTTTCCCTGCAGGAGCAAATTAGATCGTGCTTTGCTGGGTTTTTGCCTTCCTTTGGATCAACTGTGGGTATAGGATTATAACTTTTTTTTTTCTATGGTTGAACTGGATGGACTTTTGTCTTTTTTCAGCCTATGTAACTTATGCGAGAACTTTTGTGCCACAAAATATGCATCTGATCAGCAATATTCCTATGGCTGTGTTACATACAGTGTAAATGGGCTGCAAAGCTGATCAGAAGATGCAGCGTTGACTCCGCCAATAACAAGTGACCTCCACCCTGTATGGGGGTTGCACATTTTGAGAGATGGAACCAGGCTACGTGGGTAGTGTATGTCTTTATTATTCTAGTAATTATGGTACATGTATTGTTAGTGTAGATAATATCAATATCACTGTCTGATGGACCATTCCTTGTACAGCACACAGTCCCGCTTACAATTGATTGATTGATCACTGACCACCCAGCATGTGAAGCTCCTCCTAAACACGCCCACACCCGCCTGCTTCCCAAACACGCCCACACCAGCCTGCTCCCAAACACGCCCACACCAGCCTGCTCCCCCGCCCACACACCCCACCTCCCAAACACGCCCACACCCGCCTCCTCCCAGGTCTAGGGCTACGTACACCATCACGTGGTAAGCTTAGGCTCGCCCTACGTAGAGAGTACGCGCCAAGCTCGGGCTCGTCGCACTGCATGTGACGTGACCGGGAGTCATGTGACCGTGTAGCAGAGATGGCCGGCTACAGGGAGATGTACGGAGAGCCGAGTGATATCACCCTGCAGCAGGAGAGACATTACTACCTGCTGTCCCAGCTACAGAGCCTGGTGAAGGATCTCCCTAGGTCAGCACTGGGGGAGGAATGTTATCATGGGGGATGGGCACACACTGCATCTACAAGACGCTGTATACAGGCTTGTATGGTGGAGGGGACTGTAGGATGGGATGAAGCAGCTCGCACAGGACAAATTGGATCAGGGGGGCTTATTTAACCACTTCAATAACGGGCACTTTCACCCCTTTCCTGCCCAGGCCAATTTACAGTGCTGTCTCACTTTGACTATTGCGCAGTCATGCAACACTGTACCCAAATGAAAGGTTTATCATTTTTTTTTTTTTAGACAGAGCTTTCTTGGTGTTATTTAACCACTTGCCATCCAGAGGATTTACCCCCCCCCCTTCCTTCCTGACCAGGCTATTTTGTGTGTTGCTTTAACTGACAATTGTGCGGTCATGCAAAGCTGCACCCACATTAAATTTACGTCCTTTTTTATCCCCCACGAATAGTGCTTTCTTTTGCTGGTATTTAAACACGTGCATTTTTTTTTTTTTTTTTTTTTTTTTTTATATTGTGCTATGAAAAAAAAAGACCAACAATTTTTTACTTTTTGCTATTAAACATGTCCAGTAAAAAAATTTAAAAAATCAAATTTCATCATAAATTTTGGCCAAAATGTATTCTGCTACATGTCTTTGCTAAAAAAAAAAAAAACCCAATACGTGTAAATTAATTGGTTTACGTGAAAGTTCTAGCATTTACAAATGGAGGTATATATACTGGGATTTTTGTTTTTAATTTTTACTAGTAATGGCGGCGATCAGTGACTTATAGCAGGACTGCGGTGGAACATCCTGACACTGGGAGGAACTGATTTGGTGTCACTGACATCCCCAGTGACACCAATACAGTGATCAGTGCTAATAAAAAGCACTGACCCTGTACTTTTGGCACTGGGCAGGAAGAGGTTAACATGTGGGGCGATCAAAGGGTTAACTGTGTGCTCGTTTACTGTCTGCTGTGTGTCTGTGCTTCACTGTAAGCACACTGCTTTGCGTGGCTCTGCCAGCTGAGACCCGACGATTGACAGCCGAGGCCATGAATAGCGTCGCGGGTAGGGCGTGCATGGCTTGTGTATATATACGTGATTTAGCGCACCTGTGCCACCCTGTAACAGTATTACTCTTATAGGGCGGATGGGAAGCGGTTAATCATCACTGGGTTTTTAATTTTTTGCTAAACAAACCAAAAATGTAAAAAAAAGATTTCCCCTTAGTTTCTGTTATATAATTTTGCAAACATGTAATTTTTCTCCACTGACATACGCTGATGAGGCTGCACTGATGGGCACTGAGTAGGTGGCCCTAATAGGCTGCACTGATGGACACTGTTGGAGCTGTACTGATGTCCCCTTGGGGCTGCACTGATGTCCCCTTTCACAGTTGCCGATTACCTGCTCTTCTCATGCTGTGACAGTGTAAGGAAAGTGTAGCCAATAACCAGCAACTGTGTTTACATCATGATCAGCTGTGTCATTGAACACAGCTGATCATGGGGTAAAGAGCTGCTATGATTGACCGTGATTTATGATCAGCTGTGTCCGTCAGACACCGATCACAGAGTGCGCTGGGTATGCACCCCAGGGGGGAGGGGTGCGGGAGGCGCAGCTCTGGGAGGACATCATATGACAGGTAGCTGGGGCAGAGTTGTGGATGGCTTTGCAAGTTGTTAGTATTTTGAATTTAATTTGTTGGGTGAGTGGCACTAAAGTGATCCTTTCCTGTGCCTGTCCAAGCGAAGAGGTCACTTAAAGGGAAGCACTCAAAAGTCGAAGAAGTGCTCATTTTCTCCCTAACCTCCCACCTGTAACAGAGTTGCATTTATTGGGGAGAGAGTACCACTTTTTGTTTGTACTCACCTCCTTACATCTTGTCTAGGTGAGGAGAATGGTACTTATCCTGCAGTGCATCCCAGGTGGCTGCAGGGCCTTTCTCCCTGCACTGTACAATCCCAGACATGCGCAGTTGGGAGCTAGTTGTGTGATTCATAAGGAAGTCACAGCCAGCTCCCAAATCCAAGACTGCAATGCTAGGTACCCAGACAGGGCTGGACTCTATGACTTGGTAAGTACCTGATTTTTACAAGTCAGCAGCTACAATATCTAAAGTTGCTGACTTTTAATAAAAAAAAAAAAAAAAAAAAAAACTTGGTGAAATTATTCTTTTCTTTAAAGCTGAACTCCAGGGAACAATAAAACAAGTTTTACTTACAGGCTCCTCTGGCTTATAAGACTGATTCCTGCAGACTGCTCTTCCCTGCACTCCAGTGGTTGAATGCTTTCTGATGGCAACAAGACCAAAGCAGGCCATTTGCCATTAGGATGCCTAGGAACAGTCCACTGCTGGAGCATAGGAAAGGATCGGGTAACTTTTTTTTTTTTTTTTTTTTTTTTTAAGGGGGGGGGGGGGAGACATTAACCCCTACCCTATGTCCGTGCCATAAACTTTTTTTTTTTTTTTTTTATATATATATATTCTTAAAGACAGACATTCTTTAAGACAAAGTTTTATCCTTTTTGTTTCCTTCTGCAGACTTGACCAAACCCACCCTTCCTCTCCACAGATCCATACTTACCTTGATCAGGTGGCCTCTGGGGTTTCTTTACACTCAGCACTGTAGGTCTCACTCTCTTGGCTGCATCTGTGTATTACAGCCCCATTGACAATGAGAAATAACAGGGGACTGCCCTAACTGTAATGTGCAGGTGCATCCAGGATGTTAACATGCTTTGGAGGCTGCAGTTGTAATATTGAGGTATGCATGCATCTGTAGAGGGGTAATATGGCTTCAGTTAGGTTAGCAGATAGGGGGGAAAAAAGGATAATTGCCCTTTTGTCTTAAAGTGTACTTCTCTTTTAAACAGCAAATGAGGTTTGAAACCAGTCTTCACTGACCATTGTAACTGCACACACTGTGGACCAATTTATCATTAAAGTGATACTAAAGGCTTAAGTTGGGGAAAAAAAATAAATCATACTTGCCTTCGCGGAGTAGTGGTTTTGCACAGAGCAGGCTGGGATCCCCCTATTCTCTGGTCCCCCGCCGGCTTTCTGACCCCTTCCTTCTGTCAGGTGCCCCCGCAGCAAGTAGCTTGCTATGGGGGCACCCGCTGCTCTATGTGTCCATTCACACACAGAGCCGTGGCTCAGCCAGAAGATGATGCATTTTAGCTCCCGCTATGACAGAAAAAAACATCAATACACTGTGGGCAAAAAAAGTCAATACATATTAGCTGAAGTGTGTTTAGCGTACATAAAGTGCATTAAATACCAGGCAATTGGAGTATATCCAGCCTAAAGCAGAATTCCAGGCAACAGTAAACTCATATATGTACTGTATGTGCATTTGCTGTTTATTTTCACTTCTGCTCTGCTGGCTTTGTCTAAGACTTCTGGTGTGCATTATGGGCATGTAGAGTCTCGCAAACAGGCCACTAGTAAACATTGGGATTCGTGGAATGAGTGGACCCGATTACTCGGATGAGAAGTGGAGAGACTTTACATGTCTGCACATGTATACAAATCAAACTGGGATTTACATTTTAATAATTGATCTGCTACAGTAATCAGGGGTGTATTTACCACACGGCAAACAAGGCATTTGCTTAGGGTGGGATTTTTCAGGGCGGCAACAACCCGGAAAAAGGGACAGAAGGGAGAGGCTGCTTGATGGTGTATACAGAGCCCAGCTCGTTCCCAGTGATGTCTGGAGCTGTAAAGGTGAGTGTCTTTCTCTCTCTCGCCGGGGGGGGGGGGGGGATATGTATTAGTGGAAGGCTCCCTTGGTTGGGTAGGCAGGGGTGTTGTTGGTCAATATCAGGCTCCTTCTGCGGGGCTGGGGCGTTCGATTTTTGTGTTGCCTAGGGTAGCATAAAATCTGAATACACCACTGACAGTAATGCTGCATTATTTATTTGTTCTATTATTTTTGATCCAGCTCCTGTCAGCAACGCTTGTCCTACACCATTCTTAGTGATTTAGCCCTGGCACTGATTGACGGGACAGTATTTGAAATTGTCCAAGGACTGTTGGAAATTCAGCACCTAACAGAAAAAAATCTCTATAACCAGCGAATAAAGCTACATGCAGAACACAGAGGTATCCATGCTAATTACACCTTGAAAAATGCTATTGTGTCTGCACAGCCAGATAATAGATAATTAGGGTATTAAAAGGAGTTTGTAGTTCATTTGTTTTTGTTTTTTTAGTTGATTTTCTTCATGTATTCAAAAATCGATGTGTAGTTAGATAAATGGAAAATATTGCATCCAAACAATCCGTTTACCTTTTTACTATCAAGGTTGGAAAGCCAGTAACATGCAGGAAACTAGCACTGTCTGAAGGAAGTCCACCGTGTTCTCCATTTCTTTCAGTAATTATGTAAACTGCACAGGATTATAGAATGGGGACATCCTGCTTGAAGTTCAGCACAGTGGGGTCAATTCACTGAAGAACTCTGCATGCGATATGAAGGTCACGTGACCCATTTTTCAGAAATATCACATGAGATAATAAGAGTTAATTCATCAAAGTAAAATATCGAATGTGAGGTAAATACTGCACATTTGTTAAAAATGTAAGAGAAATACCACCAAAAAAAATAGGTAAATCATTAAAGACAATTCACTAATGAACACACACATTCCTTATCACCTGCCAGTAGGCAGTCGGTGTTTTTAATGTACAAAATAACAATGAGGGGAACTCTGCACTGGCCAGTATTAAATGTATACAAAGTATCAGTGTAGAAAATTTCTGCCCTGAGCTCAGGAATGAAAATACATTGTAACATTTCACCAGAGGGAGTGTTCTGTCAACGAAAGCACACTAGAATGTTTCATGATTCTGTGTGCATTTATTTCTTCCTCTGGTGCAGTGTTAACATGTAAAAAAAAAAAAAAATTAAAAGCACCAAAAATAGTAATAAATGTAAGTGATAAATATCACTAAAAATAAATATTTAATGAATTTGGTTAATAATGCATTTTTTTTAGTGAATTGACTACTTTTGAGATAAATACAGCATGGGTTATTTTAACGCAAAATTTCATGCAGTATTTTTCTCCTGGTGAATTGACCCCTTTGATTGTTCTTATGACTATAAAAACCAGAAGAAAATAAAAGAAAATAGTAGACAATACTTAACCACTTGCCCTCCAGAGGATTTACACCCCTTCCTGACCAGGTCATTTTTTGCGATACGGCGCAGTGTTACTTTAACTTACAATTGCCCAGTCATGCAGAGTTGCACATAAATTAAATTTATGTCCTTTCTCTCCCCCCGCACAAATAGAGCTTTCTTTCGGTGGTAATTTATACCTGTGCGGTTTTTTGGGTGTTTTTTTTTTTGCACTATAAACAAAAGACCAACAATTTTGAAAAAAAAAACATTTTTGACTTTTTGCTATAAAAAATATCCAGTAAAAACATTTTAATCAAATTTCGTAATTTAGGCCAAAATGTTTTCTGCTACATGTCTTTGCTAAAAAAAAAAAAAAAAACGCAATACATGTAAATTAATTGGTTTCCGTGAAAGTTATAGCATCTGCAAGTTGCAGTGTATATATACTGGAATTTTATTTATATTTTATACTAGTAATGCTGGCGATCAGCGACTTATAGCGGGACTGCGCAGGCATTCTGACACTGGGTGGGAACTGACTAACTGCCACTGACTTCCCAATGGTACTAATACAGTGATCAGTGCTAATAAAAAGCACTGGTACTGTGCTAATGACACTGGGCAGGAAGGGGTTAACATCTGGGGCAATCAAAGGGTTAACTGTGTGCTGTTTCACATCTTGTGCTGTATGTGTTTTACTAGGAAAACATGCTGTTGTGTAGTTCTCTGCTGTGCAGAGAACTACATAGCAGCATGTTCTTGCTGGCAGGAGAGAGACCTGTGTTGTTTACACACAGATCTCTCCCCTGTTAGTGTTACTCAGTGATTGCCGGGTGGCGGCAGGGAATCTTGGGCTGGGACCCGGTGATTGCCATCTGTAGCCACCAATGGCGGCGCAGGTAGGGCAGAGCGCACACGCCTCCTGCCCGGAAATGCAAATCACTTGTATATATACGTGATTTTGTGCAGCCCTGCTGCCCTGTAGCAGTAGTTCTACTATAAGGAAGCGGTTAAAGTGTTACTTTACCCAGGACCCTGCATTCACTATATCTGGTCTCACACAGTACACAAAATATGGAAATGCAATTATTTTAGTAAATATAAACTGCTAAATACCTTTTCTCATCAGCAGTATATAGCAATCTTGTGACTTCTACCAGTGTCTGGCCTAGCACTGGTTACTTTTTTTTTTAGGAGGAGTTTTCATTCTCCTCTGACTGTCCTATAAGTCTGCATGACTCCTGATTCTGTCTAGACAGTGCTGATTGGCCCTGTGCTGATCACAATCACCCTCCAAAAAAAAAAGCAATACACACCAAACTGAGCATGTACAGAGTGCCTCCTAGGGCTATCTGTACTATCAGCAGATGGATTGGGGACTGTGGAAGAAGGGGAGGATCGGAGAAACCAGGATCAAACATACTTTTTACACAATGCAGAGGATTAACCCCTTAGATTCCACAGTGAGGATAACAAGCATGCTTTACTGCATATACAGACTGATTTTAATATTTGTGGGTTTAGTAACACTTTGAAATTGAACATGGAGCATGTAATCAATTAACAATACTGAGCCTCCTATATATATAGTCTTATTTGTAGTCAAACCTGTGGTTATATGCAAGAGTGTTTCTAACTGCATGTAATCATTTTTCAACTATGCCATTTACACTGAGCATTTACCTGCATTTAGGGCATGGGCAGTTATCTGCATTTAAAGAAAACAGAATTTTGTGAGTCCAAGATCCAACTAGACACGCTAAATGCATGTAAATGCAGCTAAAACAAGAACATCTAAGCACAAAAGGAAAAAGTGATCTGGGAAGCATAAAAGTTGTTTCTAATTCCCAGATCACTTCCCCTGCATGTTCTAGTTTGAATGAGGACTACACAGTAAAACTGATCATACTCTGTTAGGCCACATTCACACGGGGATGAAAAGGTGTTCCATTTGTCCCAGTGCAAGCAAGCCCCACTGCTGTCAGTTTGAATACAGTGGATGCACAGCCACTGCTCAAAATGTGATATCTGTGCAGGTACACGTTCTGAATGCATCCAGCTGTGACCGTTCTATAAACAATTCAGAGCTGTTGCAAAAACAGTCTTCACTGCCTCCCCCCAAAATATGGAATTTTTACTGGAAACAAAAGAAAAATGTAATTCCAGTAGGAGTGATCATAAAGTACAAGACAAATTTTGTATTACATATACAGTAAGTTAGACTTTGCAGTCAAAAAAGAAATTGCTAATTATTTTACATAGCAAGTTCAACATCATTACATTAACATTCATGTATATACAAACTAGGTATTTTCTCCCGTGCCCAGAATTAATTTGTCTGTGAGTCTCGCACTTGTGTGGGTTATTTTAGGCGTAATTGTTACTAAGCACAGCTTGCAAAAGCCGTGCAAACACATAACCATACAGAAGTTGGCCAAACCTGCAGTGCAGTTGCTTTTTCTTGAGTTTTTATTTCTTGTGTTTAACTCTCCAGTGCAAAATGACCAGCACAATGAAAATAAAGCTATTGATTATATGTGGGCACTGGTTTAAAGCTACTATTGCAAAGAAGATATCAACTCTTATTGCCCCACACCACTTATTGCTGCTGTATTGCAGAGAAGCCACAGCTGTACGAATCTTCTGGATCCAACCCTTTCGGGAGTGCTGGATTCCTGGTTCCCTGACATGCCCTCAGTGACAGTGGCCAGCAGCAGAACCAGTGCTCCATAAATCTGGCACTTCCAAAAGTTTCTTATCCAGAAGATTTTTCCAGCAGTGGCTCTTCTGCAATACAGTAGAGATTAGCATCATTGGCAGCAAAAGAGGAGAATAATAATCTTTATCTAATGCACACATTTTTATTCATATATTGGTCACAAGGTCTCTTTAAAAAGATTAAATAAATGCTTTTTTTTGTAGCGTTCGTGAGATTCTGTGTTAAGTTTGTTTGTTGTCTTTTAAAAGCTTTGAAGCAAGATCTTCTTAAGAAGCATAAAGAAGCTCAACAGTCATGTAAAGCACACAATTTACCAATTCTCAAAAATACACAGCAGAGGGAGCTAGAGGTAAGACAGTTTATACATAAGTTGCTTTGTCAGCTCTGCGTGTGTGTGTACAGAAGTGAGTGCACCCCTCACATTTTTGTAAATATTTTATTAAATTGTATAGCAGTGTAAATTTGCTGTCCCCTCCAAATAATTCCACACACAGCCATTAATGCCTTAAACCACTGGCAACAAAAGTGAGTACACCCCTAAGTAAAAATGTCCAAATTGGGCCCAAAGTGTCAATATCTTGTGTGGCCACCATTATTTTCCAGCACTGCCTTAACCCTCTTGAGCATGGAGTTCACCAGAGCTTCACAGGTTGCCACTGGAGTCCTCTTCCACTCTTCCATGATGACATCACGGAGCTGGTGGATGTTAGAGACCTTGCGCTGATCCACCTTCCGTTTGAGAATGCCCCACAGATGCTCAATAGGGTTTAGGTCTGGAGACATGCTTGGCCAGTTCATCACCTTTACCCTCAGCTTCTTTAGCAGGGAAGTGGTCGTCTTTGAGGTGTGTTTGGGGTCGTTATGTTGGACTACTGCCCTGCGGCCCAGTCTCCGAAGGGAGGGGATCATGCTCTGCTTCAGTATGTCACAGTACATGTTGGCATACATGGTTCCCTCAATGAACTGTAGCTCCCCAGTACTGGCAGCACTCATGCAGCCCCAGACCATGACACTCCCACCACCATGCTTGACTGTAGGCAAGACACACTTGTCTTTGTACTCCTCACCTGGTTGCTGCCACACACGCTTGACACCATCTGAACCAAATAAGTTTATCTTGGTCTCATCAGACCATAGGACATGGTTCCAGAAATCCATGTCCTTAGTTGCCCTTAGTCTGCTTGTCTTCAGCAAACTGCGGGCTTTATTGTACATCATCTTTAGAAGAAGCTTCCTTCTGGGACGACAGCCATGCAGACCAATTTGATGCAGAGTGCGGTGTATGGTCTGACTATGGACAGGCCTACCCCCACCCCCATCCTCACCCCTTCAGCCTCTGCAGCAATGCTGGCAGCACTCATAGGTCTATTTTCCCAAAGACAACCTCTGGATATAACGCTGAGCACTTGCACTCAACTTCTTTGGTCGACCATGGCGAAGCCTGTTCTGAATGTAACCTATCCTGTTAAACCACTGTATGGTCTTGGCCACCGTTCTGCAGCTCAGTTTCAGGGTCTTGGCAATCTTCTTATAGCCTAGGCCATCTTTATGTAGAACAACAATTCTTTTTTTCAGATCCTCAGAGTTCTTTGCCATGGGGTGCCATGTTGAGCTTCCAGTGACCAGTATGAGAGAGTGAGAGCGATAACACCAAAATTAACACACTGCTCCCCATTCACACCTGAGACCTTGTAACACTAACGTGTCACATGACATCTGGGAGGGAAAATGGCCAATTGAGCCCAATTTGGACATTTTCACTTAGGGGTGTACTCACATTTGTTGCCAGTGGTTTAGACATTAATGGCTGTGGGTTGAGTTATTTTGAGGGGACAGCAAATTTACACTGTTATACAAGCTGTACACTCACTACTTTACATTGTAGCAAAGTGTCATTTCTTCAGTGTTGTCACATGAAAAGATATTAAATATTTACAAAAATGTGAGGGGTGTACTCATATATGTGTGTGTGTGTGTGTATGTATGTGTATATGTGTGTGTGTGTGTGTATATATGTATGTATATGTGTGTGTATGTATATATATATATATTTTATTTTTTTCTTTTTCAATCCTCTGTCATTCAGCTATGTCTTTTTACCACAGCTGCTGCCATCATATGTAAATATGTGCTCCATGTTTAGTCTTGCATTAGTCTGTATAAGTGGATTTAGTAAAGTCTGGTGCAAATGCTTTTAACTTCTTTAGACCTGGAATGGTTTGCATGATTTAAAAAAACATCCTTTATATTCTGAAGTTGAAACTTTTTACATTTCAACAAAAAAGTTGCACGTTTTTTACAACTAACATAGAGATTTTTTAAAAATGTGTGTATTGTACTGATATTGTAAAAAAGACAAATAAGAAATAAGTCCCAGTATGTCATTCTGCCCAAAGATATTTTAGGTACATAGTCCAATATGATAACACGTGTTTAGAGATGCCAACCATCTCATAGATTGTGGGGGTCCATAGTCACTGATGAGCATCTTAATTCAAAGGCAGTGTTTTTTTTTTTTATTCTTGTGGGCTTAATTTTTTTATGTTTTTTATTACACATAAAAGGAAATTTTGGTATTAAGAGACAAGACCTAGACAAACTGTGCCCAATAACGTTCCCAGCGCCTACACAAGTCTGTAGGTAGGTCTGAAATAAAATCCTACCAGATTGGATAAATGTGGACAAATCAACTGTAGCCCTCTTTTGGGGAGGTTATGACAAATTGCTGCCCTCAAACATGAGATTGCACTAAAGCTGTAGGTAAATAGGAGACCCAGAACCTTCGATAAGTGAAGAGAGGGTTTGATATAAAACGGACATTTGACATGGTGGGACTTTCTGTGTCTGTTTTAGGCTCTGGAACAGAGAATAAGAGAAGAGCAGCAAATGATGGATGAAAAAATTGTTCTGGAATTAGACCAGAAAGTCATAGACCAGCAGAGTACATTAGAAAAAGCAGGTGTCTCGGGCTTCTATGTCACAACTAATCCCCAGGTAAGTGACTACTCATGCTTTATTTTGGATAAGAATTCCTGTAATTAATGTCGATCTTACTGGATGCAGACTGTTGGGTAGACGATTCCTCTAGCTAAGGCAATGGGTGTGAAAAGTTTAAAATGTCTAAAATATTCAGACAGCGCTATCCCCCCGAAATATTTCTTGAGGAACAGTGTAACCAAAGATTAAATATAAAAATATAAATCACAATGTCGCATTCATAAATTATATGGATCCTGAAACATAAAGTGCACATGTGCTATACAGTACAAATCAAATAAAGCGCGATAACACTCAAAAGTGCTCCGTGCTTACAATATCAATAAAGTAAAAACCATTCCAATTTTTAAATATACTACTGTTCTTTCTCTCTTTTTGTAAGTGTCCCATGCAAGAGAGGAAAAATATTTCCTTAAATACTTATTCAAAATCATACGCAAACAGTCCCACTTTCCTTCAAGACTCTGTCACCAGTGTGACCTCCATCAAATGTACTAAATCACTCACCGGTACTTCTTGCTGGTGATTTGAGAGACCAGCAATATTGCATGTGAAATTACTAGTTGCAGAAATCACAGCTCATCTGGACCAAATGAAACCCCCTTCAGAACGCTGCAGCAGACAACCTGGCAATTTCCCTCAGTGACCATTGTATGCAGATATTTTGAAGCAGTGTTTACATCATAGAGCAGCTGCACTGGTTATCAAATATTCCAGGTTCTGTGTGGCGCAGTTAAGCATTTTCTCCATGATTGAGATGTTTAAAGTGATGCTAAAGGTAAAAATGTTTTTTACCTTAATGCATTCCATGCATTAAGGTAAAAAATGTTTTCTATTCCTCTGTCCTCCCCCTTCCCTGTGTGAAGGGGAAGAGAGGGGAGAATAGATCCAGCGTGGTGCATGACTGCATCTCTTCTCCCCTGTCTTTCATTTCACACAGGGTCTCGAAACAGCAGCGGAAGCCGCTGTCAGTCAAATGCAGTGAGAAGGAAGTGGGGAGTGGGGCTAAGTCCCATTGTGTGTGTGTGTGTGTGTGTGTGTGTCTCTGGAGCGCAGCTCTATGGATTCATGCCATGGTTAGTGTTTGGGTTCATGTCAAAGGTCAGGATTTTGTGGGGGTTGTTTTTTTTTTTTTCTTTTTTTTTTTTTTTTTTTTGTTAATGTTTTTAAATTGGTCAATTTGGTGTCGGCGTGTTTTTAGGTAGGCCCAAAAAAGCAAAGTCTGCAGTATTGTTTCTGGGCTGTACTATGGGTACAAACAACAAATAATATACACATACAGTGCTTGGCATAAATGAGTACACCCCTTTTAAATATATAATAATATAACCTGGATTACACAATCTTCAATTTTATTCATAGTTAATGCAAATATGAATACACCCCACAACAAACTACTGCATCTAGCATTTTGTATAACCACCATGATTTGAAAGTACAGCACCAAGTCTTCTAGGCATAGAATGAACAAGTTGCCAACATTTGCAACATCTATTTTTTTTATTTTATTTAACAACCTCTTTTTAGAGCTTGGATGCTGGATGGAGAGTGATACTCAACTTGTATCCTAAGAATTCCCCATAAGTATCCAAGTGGGTTCAGATCAGGAGACATACAGTGCCTTGAAAAAGTATTCATACCCCTTGAAATTTTCAATATTTTGTCATGTTACAACCAAAAAACGTAAATGCATTTTATTGGGATTTTATGTGATAGACCAACACAAAGCGGTACATAATTGTGAAGTGAAAGAAAAATGGTTTTCAAAATTTTTTACAAATATCTGAAGTGTGGTGTGCATTTGTTTTCAGTCCCCCTGAGTCCATACTTTGTAGAACCACCTTTCCCTGCAATTACAGCTGCAAGTCTTTTTGGGGATATGTCTACCCCCAGCACACATGTCCGGTACTCGCGGAAAGGTCCCGATCTGCTCTTTCGATCAGGACCTTTCCCGATCATGTGACTGCCATGATGACTCACGGTCACATGATCCCAAAACCCCGCCGTCCCACCTCCTGGCTTCTGAAACTCTTAAAGGGCCGGGAAGGAGTTAAGTAACGTCCTTTTATAACCAGCTGTCTGCTGAACACCTGTTTAATAAATAATTAGACTCATCTGTAGTTGAATTCTTGTTAATTAGAATTTTGTTGTCTAAAATTTAGCTTTGCGCCTAAGACTTTCTTTGGAGTGTATTCATTTTTGCAACATTGTCTTGAATGAATGTTTAGAAAAATACTTTTTTTGTGTGTGTAAATTAACATATCTTGTTTGCAATCAATGGCCCGCATTTGGAGAGTATTTTGTAGTGTAGTGTCCCATAGAAAATGTTGACTCTGAAATGAAAGTAAAGGTTTTCTGACAAATCTGTTGCTGAGCAGCGAATATGGTATCACTGCGATCATCAGGAGCTGTGGAGTTTTATTTTTTGCATTGTTCTTTGGTGGAACATTATGGTAGTAACAAGAAATACACAGCTAAATTTAAAAGATGGGTTTTTTTTTTTGTTTTTGTTTTTGTTTTTTTTTTTTGTTTTTGTTTTTTTTTACTATGCTGGGCCAGTTTTCCTTTGATAATAAAAAATCAGGAGATGTACAGGAGATGTGAAAAAAAAAGATCACCTGGATGTACACAGTAGTTGTGAGATGTATGGTTTTACTAACACGTCAAAGTTTCAAAATCTTACTTGGGCATTAATATTTGTTTTACCCTTAGGCGTGAAGGGGTTAAGGTAAGAAAAAAACACTTTTTTTCATTTGCAGCCACTTTAATCTTTTAACACTGAACTCCCAGGCAGATATTAAAAAAAAAAAAAAAAAAGCATTTAATGCAGTTATGCATTCTAAATTTTTCTTGATATCAGCCTCCTGTTATCCCCTGTAAAGCAGCACACAACTGAAAGTGGGGGGAGGGCACTCTGGGCCTTCCTCTTGTACATATGCACAGGAACAGCAATAAAGTGTTCAATCAGTTGCTGTTCCTTTCCTGTCCAGTCTCATTCTAGGGACACAGAGACGATGGTGAGGTAGCTAGAGAAATCCTGTCACCAAACAATTTATTTTAACAAAAATCTTCCCATACGTCCACAGTATATGTGTATTTAATGGATTCCATGTTATTTGAGTGTAAATGCTTACCTTCTGTGGACTGCTGCTGGGCGCCACCATCTGCACTCAATCTCAACAGCCCCAGCAGACTCAGAGCTGTCATTCAAGTAATATTCTAAGCAGCAGCCCTTCTCAACCTGTTGAATACAGAGGAACCCTTGAAATAATTTTCATGTCTCAGGGAACCCCTGCTAAATTATTACATCTCTAGCTCATGGCACATTTGTGCACTCAGTAAGTTGTAAATATAAGAATGTAGTGTATGTACCATATGCCCACCCAGAGTAGATAGGTGTGTTTTTTTTTTTTTTTTCCTTTGCTTCTGCTCTATAAGAAAAAAAAATGTTTCCATAACAGTCATGAAATGGAATAATATTGGCCAAAAAAGCAACACTAACTGTGAAAATTGTGGTGCCCCTTACATTGAGGGTCAGTGGAAAAGTCCCTTCTTATATTGGTAGTTGGTGTAGTGGTCACATACATCAGTAACCAATGGGAGAAGAACCCCTTATATTAAGGCTTGGTTCACATCTGGTGCTGCTGCAGGACCCACACAAATAACTTACAGCCGCACCACCCACACAGAGGAATGCGTGACCTGAAGGCGGGTGCCATTAATTCTTATGGCACGCCGCTCGCACTGGAAATCACAACCGTAATGGGAACCTTGGTTCCCATACGGACTGCAATTTCCCAAGTAGTGCAGGGACTTCTTCACTGCATGTCCCAGGGCATGGGAATCCATTCAAATGATTAGGCTCTCATGCCGGTGCAAATCATGGCCCGCACGGCCTCACATATGTGAACCAGGGGTAATGGTCAGTGAAAAATGGACACACTTGCATTATTGATTAGTGACAAAACTGCCCTCATCTAAAAAGCTAATTGGTATCAGTGGTTGCTAGGCGTTAGAAACTCTTCATTGCTCATGGAACCCCTGAAGGATCCCAAGGGTTCCATTGAGCCTTGGCTGGGAAATCCTGCTCCAAAGTATTCCACTTCATTCCTCTTTCAGAAGCTACTTAACCATTTGCTGCCCACCCTATGGCCGAAAGGCGGCCGGCAAATGTCATCAGCGTTCTGGGTGGATGCCATATGGCATCCTCCCGCACATGCGCAGATTGCGCTCCTGCAGAGCCACGCAGCGGCGCAATCTGTCACCGGCCGTGTACCTCGGACACGGCCGATGACAGATCTGAGTATCGGCCCCCGTTGCCGATACCATGTGACCTGCTGTGACCAATCACAGCAGGTCACATGACAGTTGTATACAATGGATGGCTTCATTCATGCCATCCATTGTATACTAGTGTCTAGCTGTGAATGGTCACAGCTAATCACATGCACATGTCATGTGATTAGCTGTGGCCAAATCACAGCTAAGCACAAAAAAAAAAAAAACCCCTGAATGAATCGATGTCATTCAGGTAAATGCTTGCTTATAGCAAAGTAAGTCTTTGCTGTAAGCAAATTGTAAAAAAAAAAAAATACTGATCACTTCCCCAAAGTAGTACAATGTTACTATGGTTACCTTTTTGGTGTTCTAGCGGCTTTTGCATTTCATTTGAATACACTTAGGTAGTGCTCGCTATACAGTCTATACATTGTACTACTTTGGACATAGTGAAATATGAAAAAAAAAAAAAATCTTAAAAAAAAAGCAAAAAAATTTAGTAAAAAATGAAAAAAAAAAAAATATATATATATATATATATATTTTTTTTTTTTTTTCATACTGTCGTCAGTCAGTGTCCCTGATCACCGCCATGCCAGTTATATGATGACGCTGTACTGCACTGGTGACAATATGCAAAAAAAAAAATAGTGAAACTAAGTTTTTTAATTTTTTCATTTTCCGAAAAATTATGACAAAAAAAAATACAACTTCAAAAAACTCGCCATGCCTCTTATGAAGTACCTCGGACTGTCTACTCTGCAAAA